AAAAAAAAAAAAAAAAAAGACTTTGCAAACAGAGCCATGTCAATTTTCGAATCCCGACAAATCCAAAAGCGTGCCATCCTAGATATAAGCTGATCGGTTTTGCACCTTTTTCAACTCCAAATCGCGAAATTCGATTCTAAGAAGGCACAATTAAAAGAATGTAATTATTTTGCATGGATACAGCCCATAGAAGGGCTCTAACGAGCGAATTGGTAATGGTAAGTTTACCCCACTAGGGTAAACTTTACCCGGCAGTAAACTGAAAGAAACAAGGCACTCTGATTGGTCAGTTTGGGTAAAAATTACCCTCATCTGGTGAATGTTTTTAGTGCATATTGTTTTTCATAAGGGCACAATGTTTTAGACATGGGTTACAAGGAACACAATTTGCATATTCATAAGGATTTGTATGGGATTCTCAACAAGATATCCACAGAGATAGTTAAAAGTGAAAATATTAAATAAAAATGGCTTACCTTGTTCCATACATATGTTGTTTGCTCCTGGTGTCGTTATTTTAACAATTTCACTTGATTTAAGCGGTTTTTTTTAATCCTGGTTTTCTACCACATAAAGAGAAGACAAGGCCAAACACTTCTGTCCCGACAGCCTGCCGAACGAAGTAAAAAACCCAAGCTAAAATGTACCCACGGTCACAAATCCACCGCAGAATTCAAGGGCAAAGGTTGATCTTTCATTTCAATTCTCTAGCCACACAATCTTCCGAGAAGGCAGCGTGGTCGAGTGGTCAGCATGTCGGACTTGCAATCTGCCGCTCCCAGGTTCAAGTCCCGCCCGGGCCACTACCTGGATTTGTTTCACGGTAGCCCTGAGTTTCAAATCCTCGGCCATGCTTGTAATATAGTCAACTGGTTTGCCTTTGGCCAGTTGGGATTCTTAATAATGTTATTTTCAATTTGAATTATTTGTTTCAGTTGTTTGGTGGAAAACCTGTAAACTAGCTTCTAGCTAAGTGTTTCTCCATGTTAAAAACTGTTTATCTTATCTCACCCGGCGATCAGCGCCAGGCGGCTCTTTGTGTCCTCAGTGAAACGCTAAAACGATGGTAGACGTCCGCGTACATTTGAAGCACTACACATCGACCGTTGAAATCGGCTTGGTAACCTTGTCATGTTGGCAAACCAAGACTCGCGGGGGTACTAAACCTCAACTTGTCAACATCCTCTGGATACTGGCCTCGTCCCACACAATTATGTCAAGGCCTTTGACTCAGTCTCGAATTACGGAATTTTCAGCCGAGCGATCAATCCCTTGTCGCCAAGGTAATTCTGCCGTGGATAAGCCATTAGACAAATGAACAGTTGACGCAACACCCCGATCATACACTTGACAAGCAATGCCGCTTGAACATATCACACTGATCTTCTTTCCCGCACGTTTGGCCTTTCCAATAAATCAAATGCTTTTACAACCTCGCTTTTACCAACACCAGCCTGGCTAGTAATCAATAAATTGTGACCTTCAAACACAAAGTCCACTATTTGACTCTGGTCCACATTCAACTTTACCCTAAAGTATTAAAAAGACAAAATACAACATCACCTCGTGATCGCTTGTAAGAAACTACAACATGCGAATATATTGGAAAACTTGAAGTTTTCAAGAGCGGGAGACATCCATCCATCCATACATGACAAATAAA